TCAAGTGATTCAGTCTATGCACAGCATTACACCATCCATGTGCTCTTGCACTGCCATTTTGGCAGATTTTTCATGTGTAGATCTCTCAACACAAGAGTTTTTTTTCCCCCAATTTTTATCAAGACCCATGGCTCTCACAGTGGGGTCTGTGATGTTTTTCCAGGCGGTCCTTGGCTGTATTTCTTTTTAAATATCATATTACAGTCAACTAGTAGGCCCTCGGAATGCAGAACATTGTTCTTGTTCAACTCAGATATGCTAAAATTTGGATTTGAGCCATCTGTCAGAGTAAATCTGTTAAGTGCTAAATCCGAACCAACACGAAGGTGCTATCGGGTCATAGCTTCCCCTGGTCTCTCCGCCTGCTGTGTGTGCTGTGTGGATGGAAGTGTACAAGGTGTTTCTGAGAGCGCTTATCATCTTAATTTGAGCCTCATATTAATTTAAACATAATATCTCCTGCAATCAGGCTACGCTGACAGGCCTTAATAAAGCATGAACAAAGCTAATCTGAAGGTAAAATAATACAAATTTAATTTGAGAACCTCTTACTGTAGCTCTCGGCTCTGGAGACAAAACACTTCAGAAAACTAGGGGCTATGTCACAAGAATCGTTGAACAAAACCTAAATTAAGAAAATAAATAAATGAAAATCTGCCCTTTTTTCTTTCTTTTTTTTTTACCATCTACACTAAATCAGAAGACTATTGCTCTCCAATCTATAGCCCATGTGGACAAAAACACTCCACTAAATGAGATATCCTAAAAAAGAAATAGCAGTTTAATGCCATGACATAAAACCTGACGTATGAGATAAATGGCTAATAAAGCATGATGCTGTTTTTCCAGGCAGCAGTAATGGGCCTGTTTTTACTATAATTACACTGTTATTAGCTCTTTATTACACCTTTATCACGTTACTTTTTCCTTAAATGAGCAAGCCTACATGTAACTGTATCACATTCAGAAATATATGAAGTTCTACAACTGAAAATATTCATTCTAGCAGCACAGTAATTTCCCTCCAAGTCATTAACAACCGGATCCTGTTAATATTCCACCCAGTGTCTTTAGGGAGACAGAACAGTTGCAGCTCTTTATTATATTCCAGTTCAGCAGATAACAGAGAAAAAAGTTACAAATCACTGCACTGCAGAACATCTCTGGAGATCAGCGCTCATATGTTAACTAATCAATTATGGCTTTTTAGGCCACCGTCTAAGAATGTGCCATGGGTAGAAGATGAATACTAGATTTCAAGACGCTACAGGAAGACACTTTGTTATAGCGTGTTTGGAATACACCAATGAAGAAAGTGAAAGAAAGTAAAAGAGGAAGATGGAATACAGAATGTAATTGGAATGCACTGAGTGACTCCAGTAGCTAGATTTGTGTGTGCATGCGTGCATGTGTGTGTGCATGTGTGTGTGCATGTGTGCGTGTGTGCTACAGTGCGGATCAAAAGACGCTAAGTTCTAAAGTGAAAATAACCACTCTTTACAACCATGGTGAGCAGAAAAGCATCTCAGAATGCACAGTGTGAGACAGGAATAATAATAATAATAATAATAATAATAATATTAATAATAATAAAATGTTCCCTGGTCTCTCTCTCTCTTTCTCTCTCTCTCTCCCTTTTTTCCTTTCTCACTCGTAACCCTCCCTATCGATCCGAAGCAGACTGCCAGAGCTCAGGCAAGACTTTTCCGTCTATTTGTCATCCCATCTTACTCTCTTTCTCTCATTCTCTCTCTCTCACTTGCTTCGTCCTCCTCGCCATTGCTTCCATTCCTCATCTTTATCTGCAGCATCAGAGCCAACAATCAATGATGTTTCATTCTGGAGAGGAACAATGGCATATGGGAATTGCAACTGGGATGCTAGGATAGAGAGAGAGAGATAGAGACAGAGAGAGAGATAGAGAGAGAGAGAAAGAGATACACACTTTTTTTTTGTAATGATTAGCCCTTGGCAAGAAGCTGCACTCTCTATTGTTAGCCCGTGTGTAGTTTATTCACATGTTTTCAGTCTTGTTAATACCATATACATACATTAGCTGCCTTGCTACCTTCCCATAGGAAAAAGAAATCTAACAAGAGATCTCCTTATTGTCTCTATTAGACAGCAAAGGGAACAAATGGAAATAAAAGAGAGACGTCTGTTTAAGTCTCCGATCTCTCAGCTCTGTCTCCTGAAACAAAAGACCCTGCCTATGCTGAGTCATACATCATTTGTCTTATTAAGCAGAGCTTTGATATCTACAGATACCTGTAAGAAAATGGTTTGAGGCAGCATAAATCATCACGATGCTAGCTTACCAACATATGCTAATCAACCCCAAAGTCTATTAGGTGCAATGGAGAGACCAAATATTCTCTCACTTGGCTGTTATTAAGTTAATACAAGTCAATTATTTATCCACAAATGTCTCTCTCTCTCCCTGGTGTTTTCCAACACTGCTTTTTTTTTTTTTACAGGATTATGGGGTATATAATTCTGCTGTCTATGCTTCATCTACCAGACTAAAACACTGTGTAATTGCCAAAACAAATCACATACAGTGCTTTGCCATAGTGGGATTGTATGCTGGTAGCGTTTAGTGTTTATAGGCCTAGTTGTAACCCACTACAGCTATTTGGATGAATGCATTTTCTATTGAACAGCACATTAAGCTGTAGTTCAGTTCGGTCAATGGGGCTGAACAGCTTACATCAACTCATTCAACAGCACTGCTGTTGTTTTAAGATGTACTACAGAGAGCTTGGAGTTGATACCATCCTTATAGCAATGATGCCAGCTACACAAACCATAGATCTACATTTAGTCACTGAGATCTGTGTGTCCTATATGAAAATGTACATGTACTGATCTGCCTGTACCAGCTTTAGGAAAAAACAGACAGCAAAAATGACAGAGAAAAATGAAAGTTGTCTGTAGTTAAAAAAAAAAACCACCCTTCTCAAATTTTTGTATGATTCACTTGCTCCAACAAAATCTAAATCTTTGCTTTCGATCGATAGTAGTAGTAGTAGTAGTAGTAGAGAGAGAGAGAGAGAGAGAGAGAGAGAGAGAGAGAGAGAGAAGAAAAACAATGAGTCAGCCTCGGTAATGAGCTACACTGGATATGTTACTACATAAATACAGAAAGATGATATCTTGCTTAAAACCATTAAGAGGAAAATGCTTTAAGAAGGATTAAGGTTATCCAATCCAGTGTTTCTAGTCAATTTCTAGTAAACAGTTTTCCTCGTTTATAGTAAATGAAATGGGAAGGCGGGAAGCAATACAGAAAAAAAGTTAATTTCTTAGCTGTTGCCAAAACTCAATCTTAATAAAAGAGAGGAATAAACAGATTAAGAGGATGCTGACTTGGTGTGTCCAGACGTATTGTTTTCCCCATGTTTAGCAATGAAAGCAGTGACATTTCTCTGAATCTGCCTTTGCTCCTCTGGATGCCGTTGGACGCAGCAGGCACAGAGGACAGCAGAGGAATGAATTCACAACAAGAAACAGCCAGAAGAAATGCAATCGGCTCAAAAGTCATTTAGTGAAGCCGCAGGGTGGCAGGATGCAGAGCAGGAATCATTCAGGGGTGAATTTAATAAACCAATGACGGACTTCACAACAGGTTCTGACTGTGAGCCATGTCCTAAAAAACATGAAATACACTCAGCTATCACTGATCTAAAGTAATAGATGAGAATACAAAGTGTTTTAAGCTGTAACGCGTGTTTAGAGGTGGCAGGACGCAGTGCGTAAAATCAGCGTGTTGATTACGGGCAAAGCAGAAATCATCAGCATAGTCCACAGCAGAGGCTGAAAAAACAGACAGGCAGCATCAGAAAAAAATAATCTATAATCTTAAACTAGAGAACAGGCAACGGGTTAAAACGAAGGAATAGATAGAAGGATAGAAGGGAGAAAAAAAGGCTGGTAACGCACATTAACTAAAACGAAACTTCGCAAAGAGACTCCGAAAAAGGTAGACATAGACAAAGCAAGTGGGCAACTAAACAGGTAACAGGTAGAAACAACTGGAATGAATACATGATGACATCACAAAATGGCAGAGACAGGACCAGGAAGTGAAAATAAACGTCACAGTAAGAGCACGGCTAAAGCATCACGCTCTGAAGGGATTTGTGACGTGCGCTGAAATTCGACATATTCATGTTCTCACAATTGTAACATGATTCACAAAAAATGGTTACAAATGGGGTTTTAGCTTGTATGACTTGATTTGTATGAATTTTAACATAATTGCTCTCATTCATGAGAATTCTCACCTGAAAGCAGACGGACATGACACTTAACTGGTGAAATGAGAGGAAAAGCAATCTCAAAAATGGATAAGGATTTGCAAAGGAAAGTATTATTATAAGGGATTATTAACATAAGACGAATGCTAGAGAATAGACCATTTTGTAAGAAATCTGTCAGCATCACTTCTTAATATTTGAGCAAATCTGTATAAGACTGTAGAGGGAAAACAGCTTAAGTAGCTTAAGTTAAGAGTCAACAGCAATCTGACCTTATGAGAACTTTGTACAAATTCAAATGACCAAGGTTAAAGAGGTTGTATTTCATTCAGTTTTATACAAATGAAGTAGTCACAAAAGACTTAACCATAACCGTTCCTAATATCCATATAAAAATGGAAAAAAATCATAATCAAATAACTAAATAAATATTCTGAAGTATGTGTGTGGTAGTTACTAAAATTTACAGGTCATTGTAGTCATATTCATAACAGAGCATCATAAAAGAGTGTATCAGGGCTACACATATTCGGCTAGAGGGATGGGTAAGTTGTTGTTGTTGTTCCTCTTTCGGCTGCTCCCATTAGGGGTCGCCACAGTGGATCACTGGTCCGCATATTTGATTTGGCACAGTTTTTAATGCCAGATGCCCTTCCTGACACAACCCTCCCCACTTTTATCCGGGCTTGGGACCGGCGCTGGGAGTGCACTGTCCTGTGCAGCCTCAGTAGCTGGGTTTGGTTCCCTGGCCAGGAATCGAACCAGGCTGCAGAAATGATAGCACCGTGGCCTAACCACTAGTCCTCCAGGGACCCTGGCTGGAGAGATGGGTATACATAACTTTCAACCAGAACTGGTATAAAATCATTTACTAATCCAAACTATCAATCCATGCAAGAACAAAGGACAAAAATTTACATTAATTCATTCAGTCATTCATCTTTAGTAAATACTTCATTTGCCTAATTTCAGCGATTTCAGAGTTCTTGCTTGTCTACATCACAGCTCCAGAACCACTGTGCTCACCTGTGGCATGTCAGAGCATGTGAATTTCATACAGCATATGTTCTGAGTTTTATGCAATTTTTCTTTTTCTTACTTGTTATATGAATGGGCAGCAGTTGAAACTGTTGAAGGTGCAGTTCAGTAAATTGGACGGAAATCATGAAATTCAGCTTACAAATTAGTACAATTCAATCCAACCAACAACAACAAAAAAAAATCATAATAATTCGAATGAGCAATAGGCATTGAAAAACAACTGGAGTTTCATACAAGCTGGGTTGTAAGAAAATCTCTGACCATTAACCACACACCTAAAACTAATCGCCACCACACAAGCTGGCTTACAATTTTGCAGTCGTGGGACCATGTTGAAAATCACCTTTAGAAATTTAATTTCCGGTTTCATTAAAAGTTTCCATTCAAGCCTGAGTCAAGCTCCTAAGCTCACACAAGCCCTTCTTGCCTTTTGCTTTTAATACTGTCTCCCTCTCACCCCCTACTGCTGCACCCCTCTTTAAAACCCCGACTGCCACAGGCTGTGCTGTTAAGAGAGATGGATTTTCAGTCAATCAGCTTAAGACAGCTGAATTCATTTTGGGTAAGAGCTGTTTTCATGCAACCCCTTCATATCTGAGAGCCTCCCCTACTGTTTGACATCCTGCTACTCAAGGCAAGATTGTGAGCTTGTGACGCCGGCGGAGGAGGTTAATCCGACTACCTCCTCGAGTTCATCATGGCAGAGAAACTCTGCATGGCTTTGAGGCGGCTGAAGATCAATATTTGGATCTGCTTTTAAATTGACAGAGCACACCCAGAGTGTGATGAGTAACGACGGGGGGAAACGGTTAAGAAATATGATTCGAAAAATGAACTGCTTGGGGATTTTATGCATGCTTCAGAAGGAAGTTGGTGGAGAATAGTACTTGACATTTATCAGAATAACAGATTTTTAAATACCACAGCAATGTTGAAGTCTGGAATCTGATTGGTCAGAATGTGTTGATTAGTTTTCTATAACAAGAGCAACACGGTAATGTCGAATAAGTAAGAGAACAGAAAGGTCATTGCATGGGAAGACACAAGTCCTGAATCTTCTCCTGTGTTAGAAATAATCTGTACTCTTTCTTTCCTTTTACCTCTCTCTCTCTCTCTCTCTCTCACACATACACACACACACACACACACACACACACACACACCCCTTATCCCTGGTCTTATTAAAGATCCACACAGGGATGCTACAAGGGTCTGCAATTCATCAAGCCGGACTGAAAGAAAAAAGAACTTTCCCAAAGTGCCATTTAATTCTGAGTCTGAATCTGTACTCAGTCTTAATGGCATTTGAGCGCAAATTAACACATGCACTGTCGCTTGGAGGAAGGTGTGTAATATGTACAGTGAGAGAAATGACTAAGAAAATGTGCCTGCTGTGACTAAACACAGTGCATGCTGGGATAGTGAATGGAAGAATGGAGCCTTTGATTTTACATATGGTGCTGGTGAGGAAAAAGTCATCTAATAACGCCTGAGCCACTAAAAATTCTGTTTATACTGGTAGAATGGAAATAGCCTTATACACAACTATGTTGCAAAGACCACTGTTATTTGCCTAAGAGCTACAATAAACTGCTGAATCTGCTGTTCTACAGAGGGTGATAAGTTTCTCGATATCCTTGCATTAAACAAAGAACAAAGCCATTATCCCGACCAGGGTCACTGTGGATCCCGAGCCAATCCCGCGAACACTGGACGTGACACGGGAACACACCCTGCATGGAATGCCAGTCCATCACAGCATACAACTGAGTCACTAACCACCCACTGGAAATCTGAGAAGCTGGAGGAACTGGAGACCCTAGTGAGGCAGTAACGCTGCCTGCTGTGCCTTCCGTGCCTCCCAGCAGAAAACGATAGTTAGATTGTAAATCACTGATTATGAACACGGGAACAAACATAGGAGGTCAGGATATGGAAAGAATGTAACAGAACCAATTAGAGCATGGAATCAGCTTCAATAATTTAACATCAGCAAGCCTTCAGAGAAAAAGGCAAATTGAGGACATGACACTGGATTTTTTTGATCAAAGTTTGCTCTAACTAGTAAAAGCTATTGAGTAAACTTACATGAACATGATTGTCGGGGGAAGTGTATGTAGATATCCGATATATTAAATGCTCAAGACCTGTCGGTTGGTCCTGATTTCATCAGAAACATAAATTCACACTGTATTTCAAGGTTCCATCCTTCATGGTGATGAACACCATGTGTTTGTTTTGATTTCTGTTCTAGCCCTGTCTCTGCCCCTGTCCTGTCATTGGTTTGTTGCCTAATTGTGTTCACCTGTTCTGTGTTTATTTCTGATTGATTTGTCTCTTTATCCCCTGTTGAATCAACATCTCAATGATGAATCTTATCATGCTTTTGATTCATTAAGTTCTAGCCTTGGTTTCTAAGTATTTCCTAGTTCCACATTTTCCTAGTTTTAACCATTGCCTGTTTTCCTCATTTCTGATTATGGATTATCATTGTTTAACTCTGCCTGCTTGCCATGTACTTGGCTCATGATTATAGAATTTGCTCAAACAAAGCATATGATGAGTAGTTACTAAATAAAAAAATAATGCTAAATAATAGGATTTAAGGTGAATATCTGAATAATAGTTCAGCACTTTGGGGAGTTAAAAGAAGGGATGTATGTATGAATACGCTTCTACATCACGATACAGAATAATACACAAAAAAAAGACGGTAGAAAATATGGTTTCTATTTCTATGTTGCACAAGTCATTTATTTTATTGTTCACTCATTTGTTGAATTTGAAATGCTTGTTGCTGGCAGCCAATTCTCTGTCTTAAAACTGACATATGCTCACTGGGCATTATGGAAATGCATCTAACATCTTGCTAGAAATCTTTTTGTGCAGATGCAAGCACAACACTGTGGTATAAGTCCAAGTTCCTATTTTCATGGCTATAAATAAACCACACAACAGGGAGTGTGACAATTGAAATCTGCTGTGGTGTTTTTGATCCTGCTTTGGTCCAATACTAACACAGAATTTTTTTTTGACTTCAAGAGAAGCCTTAAAAATTCTGTCCCATTTTTTTTACAACCCAGTTTCACAGATGCACTTAATGTCAACCCCCTTTTTATTATAAATAGGCTACTTCACCCAACTACTAACTAAATACAACTGATGTCTTGTAACATATGAGAACAAATGAATCATATGTGACTACTAAATGTGGATTAGACAGTTTAAGCTTTGCACAAGCACCATAGGCCATCATATAATTAACAAATCTACAGGCTGTCTGATAAAAAGAATTATATACCAGAGTCACCAAATCATTAAGACGAGAAATATAAATGCTATGTCCTAGAAACTTGCACAAATGCACAAAGATTTGCACTTCCCAAAAACAGTTTGAATAATCTTACCTGGCAGCTGTAGATTTGTAGCTAAGTAGCTAACTTTGTAGCTAACTGCTGCTATAATCATAAAGACTGGGCTGGACTCATGTTAGGACTCTTAGTACTGTTTGTTTATTCTATACCTGTCTCCTCTGTACCTGTATCCTGCAGTTATTTACAATTTCACTATTAGGTGTCACAGGTTTTCTTCTGAGTCTGGTTTCTCTCAGGGTTTCTTCTTCAGGTCGTCTGAGGGAGATTTTCCTTGGCACTGTCACATCTGATTCAATCATTAGGGTTATGATCTACATCTACATCTACATCTAGATTTCTGTGAAGCTGCTTTGAGACAATATCTATTGTTATAAGAGCTATATAAGTAAAATGATCTGAATTAAATGAGAAGACGGAAAAACAAATGTGTTGTATTCCAAATAAGGCTAGCTAGTTATTTCTGCCCCGAAAACATAAATGTAAAATCTCTTTAAAGCTAATATGGACAATACATGGACAAATAGAAGGTGTCTTGGAATTACCATAGGATACCAGGCCTAGTGTGGATCAATCAGGTGTGGAGAAGTTTCGCAAAACAGCAAATCAGAATGTGGAAGATGAGAGTACAGTGTGTATGAATCATAGCCAGTGTAGTTAAGTCTGTTGGTACACAGAGATTCAGTCAGTCATCTTCGGTAAACTTTATCCTGGTCAGGGTCATGACAGATCCGGAGTTCATCCCGGAAACACTGGGTGCAAGGTGGTAATACACCATGGATGGGATACCATCACACCTAGAGGCAATTAAGTGTAGCCAATCCAACTACACACTACGCCCTCCGTGCCACCCGCCAAACTGAGATGGTTAGATGGCAAATCACAGATTATGAATAGTGGAACAGACACAGGAGGTCAGAACATGGAGACAAGGTAATAGAAAAAATTAGAGTGTGGAATCAGCCTCAATAATTTAATATGTGCAAGCAAACTGAGGTATACAATATTTAATTTTTTCTTGAACATTCACTCTAACAAGTACCAACTATTGAGAAAACTCGGGAAGGAAATGTAAAATATCCACTACAAAGAAGAGTCACTATAAACGAGAGGTTTCTGTTCTAGTCATGTTTATATCTCCTGTCATTGGCTTGTTGCCTGATGGTGTTCACCTGTTCTGTGCTTTGTTTAATTTGGATTTCAATTTCTTGTTGCAAAGTCTTGTTATCCTTGTTCTGTTAAGTCCTAGCCTTGATTTCTGTAATTTTAAGGATCTCCTAAATCAGATTCTGTTTTAGACCGTTGACCATTTCCCTCATTTCTGATTATGGATTATCGCTGTTTAACTCTGACTGTCCGCCATGGATGGAAGAACGCTGCATGAGAATTGAGGGCCGGTT